GAGATCGATAAGTTATGATCTACAGACGAATGTGTTTTTTAGAGATTTTGATACAGTTTGGTGTTGCATGGTCTGGTATGGTCGAGCTTGAATGAGAAATGGATGGCTGGCTGGGGGGTGGGTGAACACATGGATGGACGGCGTAGAGATTCATCGTGTTGTGTTGTATTAAATGGTATTAAGTAGTATTGTATGCATATATTGTGTATGGAATAAATGGAATGAAGTGAAATGGAGTGATATAGAAGAGATTCTTACATGCTTGAGTGTGGTGATGTGATGTGATTGAGGTTTTGCAGGTACCTAGGTAGTAGGTAGTGACTAGGTGGACATTAGTACTGGTATTGGATTTGCTTTTGGATTTGCTTTTGAAGACGTGGAGGAAAAGAACAGGGAAAGAATGGGAAGTAAAGAAAAGAGAAAGTAAAAGGGGAAGAGGGCTTGGTGGGAGAAGCATATCTGATCAGTTTGTGTACTATATTTGCCATATGTGCTATGTGTACTATGTGTACTTTATCTACCTGGGTGAATAGCTGAATAGATGAATATTGTTTATTTAGTCCTGAGATTAAAATGGAAAATGGTGGGAGGTGATGGAGGTAAGGGATTGATAACGAATGATAACAGATGATTTGGTAATTTGGAGAGGGGTGGGAGGGGCTGCCATTTGAGTTTGGGGTTTAAGTTTGTTAGTTTGTAAGTATTCGTGGAGGGGGGGAGAGGGAGAGGGAGAGAAAGAGAGATGGAGACATAGAGATATGAAAGTGTGTATATAAATACTCAATATACTATCACGAGTTTCTATCACATATAGATACACATATACTTACGTACGTACATCTCAACTTTCCAATACAAGAATTGTATTACATTACTTAAATCTCATCCACTCCATCCCCTACGCATCACCCATCTTCCCCAAATCTCTCCTCACGCGCCAAACTCTGGCGCCTACCCCTCTTCCCTGCGAACCCGTGAGTTTTTCCACCCATGGAATATGGCGGAATGCGCGATGCGGTGCATCCGTATCGAGGGATACTACATCCGGGGTCTCGATTGCGATTCCAATTCCAATTCCGACATCTATTTCTGCTTCGGCATTACTATCTTCGTTATCTTCATCTTCATCGGCATCCTCCTCGGTCTCGTATGCTGCTATTTCTTCCTCTTCGCCTGATTCTTTTCTTCGCTTTTCTTTCTCCATCCATGTCCTTCTTACTAGTTCCTCTGTGTATGCCCAACCGGGGGTATCTAGCTTTCCGCTTACTAGCACGATTTGCTTTCCCTCTTGGTTGATTTCCTCGAATACGTCTTGTGGGACCGGTGTAAGGATTTGCAAGCGCTGGCGTTTAGTATCAATTCCACGAACGAGAGCTGATCCGATAGTGTGGGAAAGTTCTGGATCGAGAGTTATCGCATTAAGGGGGTTGAAATATGGGAGGTTTTCATGAGGAGTTGGAAGGATGAGGGGTTTCTTGATGAGGTCGAGGGTTAATGGGGAATTAAACTCGTGAAGGGTGTTGGGATCTGAGGCTTCGGATTTGTCTTGTTGGATGGAAGTGTATCCTGGTATTGCAGCTGGGTCTTCGATAACGACTATCGAGACTACAGAGCCATTGATAGTTTCAGAGAGGAGATCTGATGGCGGTTGTTCGCCGTAGCATAGGACACCTAGAATACCGGCATTTTCGCCGGAGTACTTAATTTCCCAAGGAGGAATGGATGATAATGGGGTCCCGCTCCATGCTAATTCCTTCTTGTTTGTTGGATCTAGATGGAAATATGACATTGACTGCATAGTTCTCAGATGAGCCGAAGTGCGTGTCATGAAATCAGTAGCTTGTGAAGGGAGAGTAATGAGAGGGGTTGTTTTGGCTGCATCTTGGAGACTCTCGACCACTTCGGCAGGACCTGCTTTAGACATATATATGACTTCTGATGGGTGCACTTTGGCTATTAAGTCTACGAGAATTTCGAGCCCTGTTCCCAAGACCCAGCCGGGAGTATTGATGACTAGGGGACAATTGAAATGGAGAGAGGCTAGATTGCGGTAATGTGCAAATAGATCGAGTGCACATGACATGTAGAGACTTGGGTCCATAGATGGTGATACTGCGCCTAAAGCATGCGCACGAACGATACGACTGCTAATTCCCGGTATAGGATGGGTAATTGAAGGACCAAAATTTGGTTCCTTAATATGAATGAGGGATACTTGACCAGGATGAGAATATTCCGGCTGCCCTGGATCAAGATCAAGTAGCGCAACACCAGGACCCTTTCTTGGACTTGAGCTGTTCTCATTCTGACTTGCAGACAAAAGTCGATTTACAAGCAATTTCGCAAAAGTCGACTTTCCGGATGACTTGGGGCCGCAGAGCATAATTCGCTTGGTAGTTTGGGTGGAGCTGGACAATTTTGATAAGGTCTTGTTCCATTCCGGTGGTGAGATGACTGGTTGCAGATAGGATTTGTGTAAAATCTGAAATGTGCTTTTTTCAAGCTTTGCCGCAAGATGACTATGCGCTGATTTGAAGGCTCGGGCATCCTCGTTCCATAACTTTCCAAACAGCGGGGAGAGAGATTCTAACGATCTTATTCCACAATCAGATTGATGAAGACGGAGAACTGCGTGGTTTAGTTCCCCATCTGGACATCTTATCACTGGTAATGAGTATGCAGTCGCTGCATATACTGGATATTTAGTCTTCGAAGCTCTTAGTATAGACCCTAAGATCGTAATTTGTCCTTCGACAACTTCAAGATTACATTGCCCCAAAAAGACCAATCTCTATAAGGTGTTAGATTTGGTAGTCAACGGACATAACACCACTGACCTCACCAGGTGCAAGCTTCAACACTAGGATTCTGCCTTTGAGCACCTTGGTATTATTGTCGCTAGGTTTGAAAGTAGACAAGACCATCGACGGTCTGTTTGAAATCACTTCAGGTGACTGCTCACGTGAATCAGAACTGGTTTGAATCAATATTTGGAGGATTAATAGCATAACCCAGTAGGAGTAAAGAACACACCTCAAGATATTGTTTTCTAACTCTTCTCCTCGCCCATTTCCCTCGACAATGAAGCCTGGGTTTATAGAAGGGAGATCATTTTTAACCGGAATCGGGTTTCCACGGGTAGAATTTCTGGAGGGAACATCATTTGTCACCTGCTGAGAGTTTCTCTCAGTATGCTTTTGAGAAGATGAGGTCTCTTTCGGTGAACTGCTAGTGCTCTGGGCAGCAGCATGTGCCTTTCTAGCTGCAAAAGCACTCACAGCACTGAGCTCTATATTGAATTTAGTGAACTTATATTTATATTTGTGATAAAATGAACATACGGGGTTTTATAGGAGAATCTAGCTTCCTTCTTTTGCTTGACATTATCTGAATAGTTTATATGAATAACATAAGTTCTTATATAATTACGAAATCGAGAGGAGAGTTCTGATAGCAGCTCGGGGCATCAAAAAACTTAGATCCGATGTTTTCCCGAGCAAGGCCGAGCCTTGCCAAAAAAAAAGTTTCGATGCGATTTTCTATTTATTTACAACTACCATTGAATCAATCCTCCATCAATTTCTCCTAAAACAATAATATACCATTCATCATGGGGCCTTCCAAAGTTACTCTTAGTGAGCGAAAGAAAAAGGCAGATTCTTCAAAATCCTCCTCGAAATCCTCTGCCAAAACTGCAACCAAAACTCCAATTGTCAAATCACCGCAAGATTTCAAGAGCTCAGAGTTTGTTGGAGAAAGCGACAATGAAAATGACGAGCCAAAAGGAAACAAATCGGAATCAGATAGCGACAACGATTCTCTGCCATCGAATCCCGCTGTGGAATCTACATCCAAATCCAAGTCCAAATCGAATAGCAAGGCCGCAGAGAGCAGCGACAGTTCCGAGGCTGAAAGCTCCGAAGAAAGTGAAAGTGAAAGTGGGAGCGATGAGAAGAAGTCAGAAGACGAAGCAAGTGCAAATGCAAAGAAGTCTGTTGTGCCATCATCGTCCAAGTAAGTTTCACCAAGCTTGACAGACTCTAGGTTTGTTTGCTAATATCATATCAGAAAAGATGCCAAAACAGTATCGATGAAAGTTGCGCCCTTCAAGCCCCCTCCCGGATTCGAAAAGTCTTCTTCGAAGAATTCAAGTAAAGCACCACAATTGTTCAGCAAGTCTAATTTGGAGGGAAAAGAAATTTGGTACATCACAGCACCTGCGTCGGTACCCATCGCTTCTGTAACGGAGATGTCGCTGCGAGATGCAAAATTAGGCAAAGCAGTATTTTCGCAGAATGGCAACGATTATGGTTTTGTTCACGATCCGCTTGATGACAAGACGTATACAAAGATCTTGTTACCAAGCAATTCTAAAGATGGTTACTCCATTGGTAACCTCCCCTGCCTACTAATGCGCTTCAGTATACTGACATACAATTACAGAGAAAAAAACCGTGGATCAGATATATCATATGCAACAAGTCGTTAACCTTTCTAAGGAGAACTCCAGCCAAGCCACAGTGCCCGCGAAGCGACCTGTTCGTCAACAACCTAAGGGTTTAAAGGCGCGATACCAGCCAATTGGCTTTGCGAGCGCACCTGGTATCATTGGATCTGACGAAGATGAAAGCGAGTCAGAAGAACGTGCTCCCAAATTCCAAAAAATCGCAATGTCGGAAGACGAAGCATCAGATGTGGAGATGGAAGATGCACCACCGGTGAAAAAGTCAAAATCCGATAAATCGAAGAAGAGCCACAAAGACTCTGAAGAAAGTGTGGATCGCTCATCGAAAAAGAAGCACAAGGATTCTGGAGATAAGAAGAAAAAGCACAAGAGTTTGTTTCCATCAACCTTCATAGGATCACAGGAACTAAAAACATTAAAGAAACAGACAGCAATTGAGCTCGTGGATCAGCCTATGCCACTACGTCAACGAGTAAAATAGCATCCAGATTCGGGCCCCGAGACTACTACTAATACTAGAGCTTCACCGCTTCACATGCTCCCATCGGGGAAGGCGTCATCAAGTCCGAGTAAGGATACCTCGCAGTCTCGGCCTGCGACGCTCGGTTCTACTGTAGAACCCCTGTCCTCGCGTCCAGAGAGTGCGAGGAAGAAACTTACAGCAACGTTTGTCATTGAAGATTCAGGTATGGCAAACACCAAGGATGAACCAAAACGGGAGAAAAAGGCGCAAATGGAGGCGAAAAAGAGACGTTTGGAGTCTCTTACTGATAATTTTGACAAGGGAGATGTATTAAAAACTACTTGCTCTCACCAATGGAGAACTAGTCCTGGTAATACCTCGCTCGCGAGATCAAATAAACTCAAGAAAAACTATGAATGAACCTCACGCAATGAGCAAATCACCGTGTAAATTTCCTTTTCGATACTCCAAGCGAGCCCCTTTCACAGGAGACTTCAAATTTTCGTGCCTTCAGTCTTTGACAATAAGAGCAAGCAAGCACCCCCAGGCAGTTTTGTAATGACCACCGCTTCGTAAATTTGATGATTGTAAAGTTCCCATATTCAAGAGCATACTCAGATATCATACACGGAATCTCCTTACGACTCTTCCATCAACAGCAAAATTGGCCTTTGAATTCATCTTCATTCGAACCAAAATATCATATATTGTCCCGTGGTTTAACCATTGTTCCCCCGCACCATTTTTTCAATGCGGGATATTCATTTTAGCGAGTCACGTCGATAATGGTTGTGGGGTCTCATTGGCTGAAATCCACTCCGATCCCGCTAGCTTACAGGAGGGGCAACTCTTAGCTTGACTAAATTTTTGTATATACTTCTTTGTCTGATCTCTCATCTTTTTTTATTTTCTCAAGCAAACTTCACTTCAGTATTTCAATATACAAATCATCTACACTCTCTCTTGCATTTAAGAGTATCAATTCGCGATCATGTCTTCTACATACGCCCTCCCAAAGTCTCACCAAGAGGTTTGTCACCACCTAAGATGCCCTGCGATCAAAATGCTGGGTAATTTGACTGACTCATTGTTTCACAGATGTTGGAGAAGTCTTTGGTTGAGACTGATCCTGAGATCGCTGAGATCATGGTGAGTAATTCAATGCATGTCCTCAACTATGCCAATTACTGACGAGAATATATAGAAACTCGAGATCCAACGTCAGCGTGAATCGATTATCCTTATTGCCTCCGAGAATGTTACCTCCCGTGCCGTTTTCGATGCTTTGGGATCACCAATGTCAAATAAATACTCCGAGGGATACCCAGGCGCTAGATACTACGGTGGAAACCAACACATTGACTCTATTGAGTTGACCTGCCAAGCTCGTGCCCTCAAGGCATTCAACTTGGATTCTGAGAAATGGGGTGTCAATGTTCAATGCTTGTCTGGTTCCCCAGCGAACCTCCAAGTTTACCAAGCTATCATGAGACCTCATGACAGACTTATGGGTCTTGATCTCCCACACGGTGGCCACTTGTCCCACGGTTACCAAACTCCCCAGAGAAAGTGAGTTGCAAAATTGTCGTTTCTTCATATTTTCATCCAGCTAACAAATATGCCAGAATCTCTGCCGTATCAACATACTTTGAGACCTTCCCATACCGTGTCAACTTGGAGACTGGTATCATTGACTACGACCAACTCGAGGCCAACGCTTTGATGTACAGACCAAAGGTTCTCGTTGCTGGAACATCTGCTTACTGCCGTCTTATCGATTACGCCCGTATGCGCAAGATCGCTGATCTTGTCGGTGCTTACCTCGTTGTTGACATGGCTCACATCTCTGGTTTGATCGCCGCTGGTGTCATCCCAAGTCCTTTCGAGCATGCTGATATCGTTACCACCACAACCCACAAGTCTCTCCGTGGTCCTCGTGGTGCCATGATCTTCTTCCGCAAGGGTGTCCGTAAGACTGATGCCAAGACTGGAAAGGAGACCCTCTATGATCTCGAAGGCCCAATCAACTTCTCCGTCTTCCCAGGTCACCAAGGTGGACCACACAACCACACCATCACAGCTCTTGCTGTTGCCCTCAAGCAAGCCACAACTGATGACTTCAAGAAATATCAACAACAAGTCGTTGACAATGCTAAGGCTCTTGAGAACGAATTCAAGCAATTGGGCTACAAGCTCGTAGCCGACGGCACTGACTCCCACATGGTTCTCCTCGATCTCAGAGCACAAGCACTTGACGGTGCCCGTGTTGAGGCTGTCTTGGAGCAAATTAACATTGCTTGCAACAAGAACTCTATTCCAGGTGACAAGTCTGCTTTGACCCCTTGCGGTATCCGTATCGGTACACCAGCTATGACTAGTCGTGGATTCGGTACTGAGGACTTCAAGAGAGTTGCATCATACATTGATCAAAGCATCAAGATCTGCAAAGAAGTCCAAGCTGCTCTTCCAAAGAGTGACAACAAGCTTAAGGATTTCAAGGCTAAGGTTGCCGGTGGTGAAGTTGAGAAGATCAATGAATTGAGAAAGGAGATTGCTGGGTGGGCCAGCAGCTTCCCTCTCCCAGTTGAGGGATGGAGAGAATAAATGTTTGATAATTTGGCATTTGGTTAAGGTGTTCATGGTTTGGGTGTGGCTAAGAAAAAGCAATCAGGATTCATCATTTGCAGGCGCTACTTCTTTTGACTGATTCAACGTCGTCATGATATACCAGGGAGTGGCAGGGGGTTTATGAGGGAAAAAAGTTTAGAGGTCGAGTTCAATAGACCATATGAGATACCTAGATAGAAAATCAACTGTTTCTATCGTCACTTTGTATTGAAGTATTACGTATTAGAGACCAGGATGTGAATGTTCATTGGGGAAAAACATTACCGATTCTGTACGACCTACCATTTCTGTCTGTTGAATATACATCATGAGCGCTGAAAGTGCTGCAAGAGGGATGGATTTAGGTTAAGATTGGACCGGGATAATTAGGTAAAATAGTACCTAGGTAGATAAATGAATATGGTTGATTGTCTGCTTAAGCAAAATCTTATTTCTTTTATTCACGGCTGGCTTTACTTCACATATCTACCTATCTAGTGTCTAAGTAAGACAATAAATCATATGTGGCTAGACACGTAGTTTGTCCTGACCAATTCCGACGTTCCTTCATCTTCTCTTAATCCGAGGCAAGCCACTCCAAACTTCCTGTGCTCGGCTGTGTTCCTGAATTCTGGGGCGAAAAGGCGGTTGGCGCCGGATCCACATAAGCAGTGTTCGCGTTGTGCCTGACATGATATGATAAGGTTTTCATCAAGTTTTAAGCTAAGGGATTAGGATACGGGTACGGATGGTTCCAAGGTTATTTGAGTATTTAGTAGGTGAGTAGGAAGGTGAGTAGGTAGGTGAGTCGGTAGGATGAAAAGGTTGATAGTATTGATGCTTACGATTTACGATGATATAGGAATATACTAGGTAGGGTTTTGATATTATATAGATCGTAATTTATATCTAACTACCTGGGTAGGTAGTATCTGGATACGGAGATAGAGTAAGTAAGTAGTAAGTAGTACGAAGAGCATGTGATGTATTATTATTATCTATCTTTTGATTATCTAGTACCTGGCAAACTTAGAGATACCTAGATAATAGACAAATATATAACGTTACTAGAGAAAATAAATAGATGTGGCAATGAGCTACTTGATTACCCACCCAGATCAGATACTACTACTACCTGGGTAAATACTAGGTGTTCATGTATTCGTACTGTCACCGTTTCGTTCGCCTTCAAAAAAGTGAGACTGACATTGATAGATCAAGGCATGTACTTGTGTGGCTACCAAGGTATATCATGTATGGTACGTACTCCTACCTAGGTATGATTGATTGATTCCCTTTTCGAAATGTCGGGGTATCGGTATCTCTCTAATTACTTTAAGTCTTGCGCCAATGTACTCGACTAGACTCATGATCACTTTTCATTGGTCAAATCTCACTTTTTGAGCGTATTAGTGGGTCGGGCTGTGGAGGCAACCGTAATAGGCGACCGCTATCGTCATTCATTCGTGCTCGTGCATCCTGCCGTGCTTTGCTTTGCTTTGCTCTTGCTAGTACTCTGAAGCTCTCTACCTCTTACCTTCATCTCAGCCATCTTCCTTTCTCTTCTCAATAACCAACTCTTCTACTTTATCAACATTTTGCAATTCCATCAAAGATATCGTTCTCATTCTCTCAATTCATCAATACAATCCAATAAACTACATAGGAATTAAACCTACATCATGAAGGGTGCAGTTTTTGCCGCAGCATCGCTGCTCGGCAGTGTGAGCGCCGGTGTTCACAAGATGCCTCTCAAGAAGGTATCTTTGAGTGAGCAACTTGCTACTGCCAACATGCAGGAGCATGCTAAACACCTGGGTCAAAAGTATATGGGTGTCCGACCTGAATCTCATGCCAGTGAGATGTTCAAGGAGACTTCCGTTCACGACGCAGGCGATCACGCTGTTCCAGTTTCCAACTTCCTCAATGCTCAATGTAAGGACATACACCACCAACAAGTATTAATCAGACACTAACTTCCGGATAGACTTCTCGGAAATTACTATCGGTACACCACCACAAACATTCAAGGTCGTCCTTGATACCGGAAGTTCCAACCTTTGGGTTCCATCTTCCCAGTGCGGTTCGATCGCATGCTACCTTCACACAAAGTACGACTCATCCTCATCATCTACCTACAAGGCAAATGGAACGTCGTTCGAGATTCGATACGGATCTGGAAGCTTGAGTGGTTTCACCTCCAAGGACGTTATGTCCATTGGTGATCTCAAGATCAAGGACCAAGTCTTCGCTGAAGCTACTGAAGAGCCAGGTCTTGCATTTGCCTTCGGTAGATTTGACGGTATCTTGGGTCTTGGTTATGATACCATCTCCGTAAACAGTATCGTCCCACCTTTCTATAGCATGATCGATCAAGGTCTTTTGGACGAGCCAGTTTTTGCCTTCTACTTGGGCTCCAATGATGAGACTGACGAATCCGAGGCTATCTTCGGTGGCGTCAACAAGGACCATTACGAGGGCAAGATCACCGAGATTCCTTTGAGACGCAAGGCTTACTGGGAAGTCGACCTTGATGCGATCGCCTTTGGTGATGCTAAGGCTGAGCTTGATAACACTGGTGTCATACTTGACACTGGAACTTCTCTCATTGCTCTCCCAACTACTCTTGCTGAGCTTCTCAACAAGGAAATCGGTGCTAAGAAGGGATGGAATGGTCAATACACTGTCGACTGTGCCAAGCGTGATAGTCTCCCAGATCTCACATTCACCCTCAGCGGTCATGACTTCGCTATTGGCCCCTACGACTACATTCTTGAGGTTCAAGACTCTTGTATCTCCACCTTCATGGTAAG